GCAGCATTACTACAGGCCGCCTTTCCTGAAGAATCTAAGTTTGGAAGCTAAGCACGTGTATAGACTAATAGTTCACGATCCAGAACTCACAGTTGGTCAAATGGAGAGAATTCTCAAAGGATGGGCCAAAACCTATCATCGCGCGGTGCGTAAGGGAGTACCGTTCATTATGCAGAAATTTGGAAAAAAATACGATTTTTTAGCAGGAACTGAAGAAATTCAACGCCGAAATGGAAGAAAAGATGGAGTCATTGAAGAAGGGCGTCAATAAATTGCTGGCAGATGCACAGTTCTCTTTTAAGGAGTACTTGGATATTACAGAAAGGAAAGATAAGACCATTTCCGAGATAAATAAGGATCTGAGAAATATCGCCGAAAGGAAATATAAGGTTCGAAATTCACATTCAAGCGGCATTTCGGGGCTATCACAGGATACGGGGCAGTATGGTGGCAAGTCATTTAAAACCGCGCAAAAAGTCCTCTTTGTTAGAAGCGGGATAAAGCCTGGATAGGGGGACGATCTCCAAAGTGCGCAAGCAATTTTCATTTTCTCCGAAATTCCTGCACCCTCCTGGACTCAGTCCTAAAGATGCTCCCTTATCCTGCGATAGCGGATTTGTACTCATTTCTAGAGTGAGTCAAGTGTCAAGAATGTTGCGCTTGAACAACCCCTGTCATGGCTAAGACAGTGCACTTGTGGTTTTCCATTCAGTTACTCGACTGTTCGAAAATATCTGCGGCGATAGTGGGAGGGCAGGGAAGGAGGGTTGGGGAAGCGAGAGCAGATTATTTCCGAAATCTCAAAATCACTGTAAAATTCTCATAAGCCTTGCGGAGGATTACTGTACCTCAACTATGTCTAATTCCTGTTTCCTGCAATGCAACCCAAATTCCATCTCAGTCTCCCACGCTTCCAGGGAGCCAAACGGGACACCGCTCCCCTAAGTTGGTTCACTCTGTGATACCAATCTTCTGCGTACCGATAATGGAAACATATATCCGTTTAGGTGTACGCCTTATTGAGGTCGGCTATATGGAACTATGACCCTAGCCCACTTCCATGGGTGAACTGCACATACCTTTTCAAAACGAAGGACCATTCTCCACAAATGCAAGGAAAGGACTATAACGGCTACTACGATGCAACTACGCTCAAGAAAGTGGTAGGTAAATTTTGGACAACAAATATTGGGAATGAGCTACTCAACTTTAATCCTTTAGTGTAAGATCTGTTGAGATTTCAGCGTCCCGCTTTTTGCAAATCGGCCTGGAAATGGATGCGTGAGAAAGGCGATCTACTATGGAAACTTGTATCCACTAGAACCTGAGGTAAGGCTCCTGAGGTCATGTAGAGCTGAGCAGCCACGTCCTGAAAAGTGCAGATTTTGCGCCAGGAGTCTCGTTTCGAGTTTTGATTTGTCTTGCCAGGCACTGAACGCTTTATAACTTGCTTATCGGAAAGCTGGCTTTCCAACAAACCGTTCACATCAAAGCAACGACCCCAGACCAAATTGGTAGAGTAGCAGTGGTCGATAATGGAGTTATGGATGGTTCAACTGGAAATGAAAAAAGAAGAAGCCAAGTCAAGCGCCGATGAAGCCTTTAACAAAGAGTTCCTCTCACCTCCCTCGAAATGTATGAGGGTCGTGTCCAGACGAGTTGAACTTGCTTGCTCCACAGCTCCACTAATTCGCGCCTATTTGAATCAGCCGTAAGGCAGCTCTCGTTGCGGGTCGTGGGGTATGGAGGTATCTCGTCCTTACATAAGCCGTCATAAGCACACTTTGTAAGGCCCTAGTGCCATCGTCTCGCAGTTTCTGTCCCACCGACATAGATTACTCGACATGACCTCATCTTGGGGTGTTGCTATGACTGTGTACTTACGCTTTGTGATTTTCTAACTGAAGTTCATTTGGGTTAAGGAATTCCTACAAGGTAAAGGTAAAGGAATTTTCTTACAATTTTCTTACTTCTTCATTTTTTACAATTTTCTTAAACAAAATACTGCACATGTGGCTCGATCTTTTGCCCACGTTTTTTGAGCATCCGCGTTCATTCATCTGATGATTTTCACACAGGTCCAGCGCTAAAAGGATTGACAGAGATTCAATATGGACTTGGACTTGAAACATCAACAGGATTGGTTCTCATGAAACCGTCCGAAATAAAAAATCAACACCATCCACCAAGTTCTTTCCATCGAGCACAATTTATGATCACTCCATTATAACAACAACTTTGATGTTTCCGTTTTTCTGTCGTTCTGCCCGTTCACCAAATGAAGTGAGCGATAAAGAAGCTAATGAATAAACGCCCATTCACAAATCTGGGTAGCCTCCAGGACTTTCAATGTTTTGCAATGGCATGATTGTGATAACACCCCAACGGCTATATAAACACCTACTTAGCACACTTTCGGTCATTCCACAAGGTGCTGCAGTGGCAGCTGGAGAGCAGTGGAGGGAGAAGGGGAGGATAAGGAGAGGAGGAGGAGAAAGAACGCAAGGGAAGGGAGGTTCCGGCGGTTGCCGGGGGACCAATCTGGTATTGTAATAAGATCCTAGTTTCATTGCTGTGATAAATTTTTCTTATCTTAGAAGAAGAGGGCATTTTTCACATCTCGCCCTACTTTTGATGAGTAAGACATCGTTTTATTCCCTTCACGTCTACAAAACAGTTTTTTAATCCTTGACATTGCGGACAAATCGTCGGAAATGCTGGGGCATGGCTGTTGTGCATCACTTCAGGGGCACAATGAGTCTATCTTCACCTTTTTAGAATACATATTTAGCCACAATATTTATGTTGAGAGCGTCGTCTCAAGTAGGCAAGGAACTCAGCTCCTTTGTTGCCTTTGAAGCACGAATCATGCTGTATGAGTCACGACCGGCCATTACGTTGTAACAAATCTTTAGCCCCTTCGGCCTTTACCACAGTGCTCTAGCAGTGGCCCAGACAAAAATCCCGGGGATTTCTATGAATTCAGTAGAAGAGATTCCCAGCTGTTGGAAAATATCCTCCTGCACCTTCCAAATCATTATGTCA